GATCCCATCAGCTCTGGCCGAAGGACCCTGGGCTCTGGAGCTGGAAAGCACCTTAGGGAGGGCATTCAGAGCCAGGGCCTCATGGGGAGGAGCCAAGGGCTGGGCTGAGCTGAGGGTAGTGCCCGGACCTCCTGCAGCCTCACCCAAGGGTGAAAGGGTCTTTCCGGGGCCTCAAATGCATGTTTCTCTAGCACATGACCGACCTTTGAGAGCGGCCCCAGGGCTACCCTTCTCACAGTGATGGCCTCTTCCTTCTCATCTTATTGGATGGAGGCAGAGAGAAATAGCCCAGAGACATGGGGCTGTTTTGCCCCCAGGAATGATCTGACTGGGCATTGTTATTACCATGATGGACGTGGGGGCTGTTCCTATTTGTCCTGCCTCCCAGGGGCCCCCCTGTCCCCTCGGTAGGGTGTCAGCGGCTGCTGTCGTGTGTGGGATTGAACAACATGTGGGGCCGATTGCTTGGGACTATCTGGGCTTGCAAGATCATCATGTCCCTTCCCCCAACCCCCATTCAGTATTCGGGGGAGGAGTCTGTACTGCTGTACTGGGGTCTGTTGTGTATATTTGTCATCTCTTGTGGCGTCTCTGCTCTGTTGTGTGGCTGGCCCACTGTGTGTCTGTCTGTCTGTGTCTCATTCCGTGTATATCCGTGGCCCGGTGTGTGGCTGGCCCACTATACTGACAGCAGATCATGCTCCTCCCATGCTTTCCACACAATGACCCCATGAGAGTATGTTATTATCCCCAGTCCACAGATAAGGAAACTGAGGCACAGAGGAGGCAGTGACTTTCTCAGGGTCACACAGTGAGTCATTTCTCCCACCTCCTAACGCTTCCCACAAAGGGCTGGCCAGGCTTACTGGGGGCGCGGGCCCATCTTCAGAAAGTCCAGCCCTCAAGGTCGTAGAGGCAGGGTGAGTGAGTGATTGAGCTCAGGAAGGAAGAAGTCCAATTCAGCACCCAGCCCTCTTGCAGGGTCTCTAGGCCCCAGGTGACAAACCCTGCTACGGCCTGAGCCCTTGGCTTTCCCTCCCCCCCAACGCCCAGCTGGCCTCAGCCCTGGCCGATTAGATCAGCAAGGCCTAGCCGGCCTCATCCCGGGAACATTCCAATCATTCCCCCATCAGCACCGGAGCAGAGCCGAGCCAGACTGAGGGAGGGCCTGAGGGAGGGCCAGGCACTGGGGAACTTTCCTCCCTCTCAGCCCCTCCCACCCAGAGCCAGCGGACCGTCCCAGCCCCACACAGTGGCTGGGAAGTCCTTGGACTGCCGGCCGGAAGGTGGGCTCTTGGCTGGGGCTGCAGTAGGCAGGACAGGACGGAGGTGAGTGTGAAATAGGCCTATGGAAGGCGCTGGGGTTGGGGGTGGTTCTGGGGGGCTTGACACTCTCTTTCCTGAGGTCTCTACATTCACTGTCAGGCACCTGGTATAGGTGACCCCTAAGTGGCCAGAAGCAGCAGGAGAGAGTTGAGTACCTCTGGCAGCCCCTGGAGACTGGCCTAGGGAGAGTGCACTGGGTCAGGAAGGAAGGTGAGGAGGGAGGATGGCCCCATGAGGATCCTGAGCAAAGCCTGGGTCTGCTGGACCAATGACCCTCCCTCCCCTCCAGGCTGGGCCTGTTCCTTTAGCCTAGACCTCTCTGTTTGCTCTGTCTCTGCTTCCCTTCTCTAACTGATCCTGATTTCCTCAGCCAGAAGTTGGAGCAGGTCCTTTCCCTGCTCTGTGACTCAGTTTCTCAAAATGAGAGGACTGGACCAGATGTCCCTAAGGTTCCCCGCAGCCCTGACGCTGAGTCTGCACAGCCTGTGTCTGGCTCTCTGCTCCAGCTTAATCCCACCACTCCCACCCCTCTGCTCTGCTGGAGGATCGGCCTCACAGAGGACAGGGCCTTGTTCTCATACACTGTGCTTCTCCCACAACTCAGGGCCCTGTGTCAGAGGGCATCAGGAAATGTCTGGGAGGGATGTGGGCAAAGGGCTATGGTGGAGAGGGCAGGAAAGCCTAAGAGGGAGCCTGGCACAGGTGAAGTGAGGGGCAGAAGCCTGGCTAGAGAGAAGTCAGAGGGAAGTGAAACCCTGTGGCAAAATCAGGGCCAGGCTGTGGAGGGCCTTGAATGGCGAGCCGAGAAGGACTTATTGTGTGGGCTGGGGAGGGGTTTTGAGGAGGGGAGTGCTAAGCTCAGACCTGTGCACTGAGGGGAAATTGATTTGTTTTTGTGGAAAGGGAGGCAGACTGAGGGTGAGGGCGTGAGCCGGGCAGGTGGCCCATGGGAAAGATGTGGCGCTAAGTCTTGGCAACTGATCTGGAGAGGGCAGGTGAGGAGTGAAGAGGAGAGGTCTCAAGGCTGGGATAGGGGCTGGGAGGGAAGAAGGGGCTGCTTGGGGGGCGCGGGGCAATGCCATTCTGTTTCAAAACAGCCCGGTTTATAGGTGGAAACAACCTGTTGTCAGTAGGACAGTAGACGCTGTTTTCTTCCAAGTCTTTAGAATGTTAGCGTGAAAACAATAGCAGAGTCAAGAGACCTGAGATCAATTCTTGCCTCTGTGGGGCTTTCCTCTCTCTGTGCCTCAGTTTCCCCACCTGTCAAATGAGGGAGTTGGAGGAGATGGCCTCTGAGATCTCTTCTGGCTGCATTCTAGGTGCGACTATCCTGGTGTGACTATCCATCCCTCTCCTTTTCTGGAGTGCCGGATCGCCGGTCCGGACACGCCTTTGCAGCCCTGGTCTAGTTCTATCCACTGCCTATACCATGGGGACATCTCCCCCTGGGCTTTTTAGTAATTTGTCAGCTTCATTTTATAGGTGAAGAAAATGAGACCTGGGAAGGTAAGTGACCTGCCCAAGGTCACATTGCTAATAAATGTCTGAGGCATCATCTGAACCTTGGCTTGAAGCAATTCAACTCACCAGACATTCCCCCATGAAATACCTGCTTGTACAGAGCCCTGGGAGGGACTCTGGATGCAAAGCTTAGATCAGACCTCAGCCCTGCCCTCATGGAGCTCCCAGGCCAGAAGCAGGAGAAGATACCCAGGCTTCAGAGATCATGGCGGGGGCGACCTGGGTCCTTGTAGTGGAGACACTGTACAGGCGAGGGGGAAAGCGGGGTCTGGACTGAGGAGGAACAGGGCCAAGGACTAGACAGACCCGGGGCATTGCATAGATTCCCCTTCACATGCTGCCTGTTCTCCAGCCAGGGGTGACAGAAAACGGAGTCTCCACCCCCTCCTCCTTCTGGGCTCCTGGTCCCCTCCCCATCTACTTTTTTTCTGGGCCTCTAGTCTGCTGTGGGGCGGAGGGCTTGTCCTCCCCCGTTCTGTGAGGGGCCAGCCAGGCAAGGGGGAGGAAGGAGGTTTCAGTCCTGGAGGAGGGATCTGGGCTGGATGCTCACAGTCTGAGACAGAGAGGGAAAGGAGGTGTTCGGGGAAGATTTCAAGTGAGCTGGGGTCCCTTGGCCTCCTTCCCTGCCTGAGCTGGAGACGGATTAAGCAGCTGATTAAATTCTCAGCTTCTTTCCTGAGTTCTGGTCATGGGGCTTGGATTTTCCCTTCCCTCATGGCCCAGGCCACCCCACTGTGGAAGAGTGAGCTGACCCAGAGCTGAGAGGGATGTCAGGAATGGGCACGAGGTACCAATGTGCACAGCCATGGTCACTGTCCTTCCTGACGTCTAGTGCATGTGCACATGTATTTACACACACACACATGCACACACGACGTCAGACACGCCTACCATGTCATGCTCAGGAAATAGCAGCACCTTGTGAAATGTGCTGTGCGGTCTCTCTTTGTCTCTGTCTCTGGGTTTCTGTCTCTCTCCCCATATAACAGTCACACGTGTGCCAGCTTTGGTGGGGGGGAGGCGGGACCCTCTGTCTCTCACTCTATTTCACACCTTTCCCCACCCATGTCTTCTCCCCCCCCATTGGGGGGCACTGGAAGGGCCTCAGGAACAAAGAGGGGATGGAGGGGCGGCATCTCCAGAGCAGTCCCTCCCCCCACCCAGGGGGCTGATCAGATACAGAATTTTCAATGAGCCCTGGGAAGCCTTGGAGCCAGGCAGGCAGCTAGCAAGGGAGGGAGGGAGGGAGGAGGGAAGGAAGGAGGCTGGGAGGGGAATGAAATGTTTCCAAAGGAGATTTGTAAGTCAATGAGCCCCGAGCCCGCCCTAAGTACGAGAGACCCAGTTCCAGGCTCTCTGAGTTCGTACATGTACAGATGTAGGCATGGACATGCAGTGCCGACATGTACCCATTAAATGGCCCTGAGACATTGGCTGTGGGTACAGAATGAGAGGCTGTCTGTGGGTCTGACCACCACCATGTGATTGGCTCTGGGGGCCCCTCCTAGACAGCTGAGGTGCCTCCCTGGGCTCTATTAGCAGGGTTATAAATAGTGCGTCCCCAGTGGTAGTGGCAGGCGTGTGAGGGCCTGCAAGAGCCCAGCCTCAGCCGGCTGGTTATTCAGGGAGGGGGCTGCATCTCCTGAGGCATCAAGAGTCTATTAAGACCCTCAGCTGTAAATAGCCCCCGAAAGGAACTGAGGGCAGCAGCCCTCCTGAAGCTTCTGTGACCAGCCTGGTGGAGGTAGAAATCTGTGGACGTCAATGTGCTCCCATCTGGCCTTTGGGGCTTCCTCCACAGCTGCGTGCATCCATGGGCGTGTCCATGCGTTGTGCCTCCAAGCTCTCAGGGGGTGTCTGGCTGACTGTGATCACAACAAGAGGCATCTGAGCCTGAATCTCACTGTCAGCATTTCAGTCACGTCCAACCCTGTGCACCCCTACTTGGGGTTTTGTTAGCAAAGACACTGGAGTGGTTTGCCATTTCCTTTTCCAGGTCATTTTACAGAAAAGGAAACTGAGGCAAACGATGTGAGGTGACTTGCCCAGGGTCACCCAGCTAGTAAATGTCTGAGGCCTCAGTCACTGACCAGCTATCTCTGATCAAGCCTCAGTTTCTTCCTCTGTGAATTGGGATCACCCTTCGTTGGCAGATACCTAAAGCAAAAGCGAAACGACAGTGATCATGGTGTTCGCCATGTGTGTCTGTGTTCACGTGTGGCAGAGGCAGCCGAGGGGCACCGACTGGAGAGAATCCTGGACCTGGAGGCAGGAAGGTTATTGTTGTTCGTGTCCAACTCTCTGTGACCCCATTTGGGGTTTTCTTGGCAAAGATATTACAGCTGTTCACCATTTCCTTCTCCAGCTCATTTTACAGAGGGGGAAGCTGAGGCAAATGGGTGACTTGTCCAGGGTCGCAAAGCTAGTAAGGGCCAGATTTGAGCCAAGATTCTGACCTCTCGGGTCACCAGGTCTAACCCTCACCCAAGTCCTATCTCCTGCCCTGTTCCCCCCCCCCCCATAAACAGAGGGAGAAAATGCACAGCTTGACCATCTCTCTCTTACACACAAAGTCCGGGCACCTTGGGAAGGTTGGACAGACCTAGGGAGATGGGGGAAGGGGTGCTTGTGACAAATCCTCAGACATGAGCTGCTCCCGGCAGATCCTGGGGCTGAGGGCAGGGAGGTCTGAGGCCTCATCTTTCTGGGACTGTGGACAGTATACTTTCTGCTCTGGGTCTCTGCTTCCCTTCTAAGAAGTAGGAAGCAGCCTCCCTGTCTCACCATCCTCAGAGATCTAGGAGTAGCAGTGACTTTCCCCTAGGACAGTCTTCCCAGGGGGGCCAAGATCCTGCTTCCTCTCCCCAGGGCCAGGCAGAGAGGGCCTTGTCCTTGTAGAGTGATCACTAGAGTTTTTGGCGGGGGTGAGAGGGCAGCCAGGATCTCTGAGTGGATCTTTATTTCTGTGTTCTGGGCTTGGCCTGGCTCATGTCAGGCAGAGACTGTGGGTCCAGCCTAGACCCTGTGTTTCCAGGGCCTGAACACATGGTGACTTCTGGAGAGTTAGAGGGAGTCATGGCTCTGACCTCAGGGAGCTGCCGTTCTGACGGGGGCAGAATCAGGAAGGGGAGGTATGTGGCCCTCAGCTCAAGGCCTCGGGGTGAGCACTGACCAACCCTTGCTCCTTGTCCTCACAGGGTCCTGAGGAGCAGGATGGCATCCTGGGTGTGGGCGCTGACTCTGTGGAGCGCCATGTGGCACGTGGTTCACAGCTCAAGGCCCAGGAAGCTGGAATTCTTCCGCAGCAAAACAGAGCTGAACCATTTGGTGGTCGATGACGTGTCAGGGACCGTGTACCTGGGGGCCGTGAATGCCCTCTACCAGCTCACCACCGACCTCCAGCTGGTGCATATGGTGGAAACGGGGCCCGCTCTGGACAACAAAAAATGCACGCCCCCCATTGAGCAGAGCCAGTGCCAGGAGGCCGTGTTCACAGACAACGTCAACAAACTGCTTCTGCTGGACCGGCCGGGCGGGCGGCTGGTGGAGTGTGGCAGCCTGTTCAAGGGCATCTGTGCCCTGAGGGAGCTTGGCAACATCTCACACCGCATCTTCTACGAGGACAGCAGCGGCGAAAAGTCCTTCGTGGCCAGCAACGACGAGCGGGTGTCCACGGTGGGGCTGGTGACCAGCGTGGGCAGAGGGGATGAGGGCGGAGGGCTGGCCGAGCGTGTGCTCTTTGTGGGCAAAGGCAACGGGCCTCATGACAATGGCATCATCATCAGCACGCGCCTGTTGGACCGCAAGGACGGCAAGGAGGCCTTTGAGGCCTACACGGACCACACAGCCTTCAAGGCTGGCTACCTCTCAGCCAACACCCAGCAGTTTGTGGCTGTGTTCGAGGACAGCGACTACGTCTTCTTCCTCTTTAACCAGCAGGACAAGCAGCCTGCCAAGAACCGCACCCTCGTGGCGCGCATGTGCAAGCAGGACCCCTTCTACTACTCCTACTTTGAGATGGACCTGGAGTGCCACGGCAACTCGGGGGAGGTGTACAGCGTCTGCCACGCGGCCTCTGTGGCCGCCCCGGGGGCCACACCCGGGGCCGGCCAGGTGCTCTTTGCTGTCTTTGGCAAAGATAGTAAGGGCAGCGGTGGCAACCCCCGCTCTGCCCTGTGCCTCTTCCCCTTGGCGGATATCCATGAGAAGATGGAGGAAAACAGGAACAAGTGTTACACGGGGGCCCCAGGGCAGTGGCTCCCAGAACTTCTACAAGCCCTTTCACGGGGATGTCCAGTGCGCGAGCCACGGGCCAGTGAGTCTGCCTACGGGGAGGGGAAGGGGGGTCGGGAGGCTCGAGCCCGTCCTCTAGGCCCGGCGGTGGGGCGGGGGACAGGAGCCCCAAGGGACCCCCATCGGCCTCCCAGGAAAGGGCTGACCCCTCCTCGATTCTCCCGTGGGCCGGGTCTGGAGACTGGCTACGTGACATAGGTGTTATATTGAGTTATTCATTCACCAAACCTTAAGGGCAAACAAGCACACTTAGTAAGCACCTGCTGTGTGCAGAGCCCTGCCATTGTGGGGAGCTCTCAGAGCAACAGGGGGTTAACCCACAAACTCCAAGGGGGCACAGGATTGCATGGGAGACGTGGTTTGGGCTGAACTAGGCCTACCGTGATGGGAGTAGCCTGGAGGCTGAGGCCCTGCTCCAGGCCCAGGGGTATGGTATGGGGCCGGGGTGGGGTTGGGGGGAAGCCAGACAGCCACAGAGGGAAGGCGAGCGGACAGGGATCTCACCCGTCCCTGGTCTGCAGATGGCCAGCCAGAGTTTCCGCTGTGGCTCAGAGCACCTGCCGTACCCCCTGGGGAGCCGGGATGGACTGGTGGGCACTGCTGCGCTGCAGAGAGACGGCCTGAATCTGACGGCGGTGACGGTGACAACTGAAAATGGGCACACCGTGGTCTTACTGGGGACGTCGGATGGCCGCATCCTCAAGGTGAGTCTGGGGGGGCCCCCCCATCTCTGCTGCCTCAGGGAGGGGGATTCAAGTCTGGGCTGCAGCCTTGAAAGGCTGAGTCATGGGGGTAGTCTAGTAGTGAGGAGCCTCCCCATCTGGCGCCCACAGGCCTGGGTCCTCCTTCCAGCACACTGACCAGGACCTGGGGCAGGCCATTCCCCTAAGGGAGGATGCCCTGCTCTGTCCCTCCTGAGGATAGCGGGCTGTGGTCCCTGAAGGCTTCTCAGCCACGAAAGGTGGCCGCCCACTGTGGCCAGCTCCTCAAACCCTTGGCCGGCCTCCCTCTGCTCAGGTGTTCCTGACGGCTGATGATGGCGAGTCCAAGGAATATGGTTCCATCCTGGTGGAGCTTAACAAACGCATTGAGAGAGACCTGCTGCTGTCTGCCAATGGGACCAGTCTCTACGTTATGACCCAAGACAAGGTAGCAGGCCCAGCCCTCGGCCCAGGCCCCTGAAGTGTCCGAAGGGCCCGGCACCGACTTCCCTTCTAGTGCCAAAGTCCATCCTTGTACTTTGTGAGGAGCGGGAGCGGGAGTGACGGGAGGAGCCCCAGGCCCTGCTCTCAGGGCCCTCCCAGGCCAGGAGATGATGAGGGCAGAGCAGGGCAGAGAGCGCCTGGGGCTGAGCTGGGGGGAAGTGGGGGGGGAGGGAGCTTTTCAAGGCCTGCAGGCCTCGCGAGGGGTGGGTGGCTGAGGGGGTCCCGGCAGGGTGGAGCTCATGCTCCTTCCTCATTCCTTGTTCTGGGGGCTCTTGGCTGCTAGGAGCCTTGTATTAGTATGGAACTGCCCAGACCCTCACTCTGCCTCTGCCTCCAGTGCAGTGGGCACCTGAGAAGGGTCTCTGGCTGTGTGTGTGTGTGTGCGCGCGCCTCTCTGCCTTTGTCTCTTTCTTTCCCTTCTCTTATCTTCTGTTCTTCTTTCTCTGTCCCTGTCTCTGTCCAGCTCTCTTTGTCTCTCTCCCCCTCCCTCCCACCCTCCTGACTTTTCTCTCTTTCTTCCTCTCCCTCCTTGGAGATAGCAGGGTAGCTAGGAATCTGGGTCAGCTCACCTCTCTGGTACCCATGGTGCCTTTGTAGGGGTGGGGCAGGCAGCAGCCAGATTCACTGGGGGATCAGGGTTTACCTGGAAAATGGCCAGCACATCCGACACTGAGGGCAGGGGGGTGCTAATGCTATTCAAATCACATGCCAATGTGCTGGGCATCTGCCTCATCCTTTCTGGGAGTGGCAGACTCTGGGGAGCTGGTTGTGGCTGGGATAACCCGACTTGGACACTGCACTGGGCTGACTTAGAGTGTCCCCCCCCACCCCACCCCCAGGAATGAATAGGTGGCAGCCCACGGGGAGGGAGGAGGTCACGGAGCAGAAGCCAGATTTTCTGACCCAATTTTTCCTTGTTCTTCACTTTTTGAAAGCTTCAGCTCCCTCTTAGGACATGGGTCCAAGCTGTGGCTGGGGTGGGGCCAGAGAGTGGGTGAGCTGCCTGGGGGCCACTTCTGGGGGCGGCTGGGTGGGAGGGAGGGCTTGGGCCTTTGGGACACACTAGGCATGATTAAGCATAGAGGCTGGCGTTCCTGACCCTCCGGTGCACCCGCCTGGCCCTGTGCCCGGCTCCTGCCGTGGGGAACCCTGGACCCTGCCCTCCCGGTAGATAAGCAGAGATCAGAGACCAGCCAGGATCTAAGTGGGCTGGTGCACAGAGCCATGAAAAGGAGGTCAAGTAGGTTAGAGCAGGAGTGCAGACCTGCAGCCTCAAGGCCACATGAGGCCTTCTAGGTCCTTGGGGGTAGCCTTTTGACTGAGTCCAAATTTTACAGAATAAATCCTTTTGTGAAGGGGATTTGTTTGTGAAGTTTGAACTCAGTCAAAGGGCTGCACTTGAGGATCTAGAGGGCCACATATGGCCTCGAGGCCTCAGGTTCCTCACTCCTGGGTTAGGGCCTTGAATTCCAGAATGAGGGAACTTCGATGCTATTTGGCAGGCTAGTGGGGAAGTCAGGTAAGGTTTTTGAGTAGAAGTGACATGGACTGATCTGGGAAGGCTGGACAGGAGAGGAAGCCTTGCCTTTTCTGGGAGGCCCCCTCGTCCAAGGTTGAAGGTGTGTGCCCCCTGCACCCTGTGAAAGCGGAGGTAGGGTGATCACCCAGTCCAGAAAAGAGTCACCGAGGGTCCAGACAGGGTGGCTGTGAGGGTAGAGGTCCTGTGGCTCTGGGGGTGGGGGGAAAGGTCAGAAACAAAGGCCTAGAACTGCCTTAGCGTGAGGGTGTGGCCCCTGGGTCACTTTCTTGTTGGGTGCTAGAGGGGGAAATGATGTGTGGTGTGGACAGACAAGTCTAGAATCTGTGCCCAGCTTAGAACCCAGGCCCCAGATGGGAGCCAGCTGTGGCCAGGGGTGTTCTGACCTGTACCATTGAGGAGCTAGACCAGAGCCAGGGTGCTGCTTGGAGTGGGAGGAGGGAATCTAGAGCCAGGGTACTACAGAGAAGGATTTAGAGCCAGAGTGTTGGAGAAGATCTAGAGCCAGGGTGCTGTGAAGGGGCTCTAGAGCCATGATCTTGGGGGGGGATTGTCCTAGAGGCAGGGTCCTGCAGGGACAGACACATTTTATGTCCCAAGGTGATGGTGGGGACCTTGAGAAGCTCTTGACTTCCTTCCTCATCCCCAGGCTGGAGGTCTTGGGGCCTCCCACCCACCAGATCACCCCCTTGGCCTTTCTGCAGGTTTTCCGGCTTCCTGTTCAGGACTGTCTCAGTTACTCAACCTGTGAGCAATGCCAGAATTCTCAGGACCCTTACTGTGGCTGGTGTGTGCTTGAAGGACGGTGAGTGGCCGGATTGAGGCCGGGCTGCGGGGAGGCAGGGACAGGGCTGGGGACACCTGGGCGGCCTGGGCAGGTGGTGTGAGATGTGGGCATGAGAGAAGGAAGGGTTCTGAGTGAAATGCCAGTCTGCCCTTGAGGGGCAGTGGTCTCTCCCAGAGGTAAATGTACTCCTCACCTCATCATGGGCTGGCCTTGCCCTCAGGAGAGTCCATTCTTAGTATGGAGACCAGGTCTGTCCTGGAGAGTACTGGGTCTGAGGGGAGATACAGCCTTGCTTTCAGGGATCCTTTGGTTTAAGGAGAGGGGGCGTAGTTTGGTCCTGCCCTGGAGGCCCTAACACCCAGCTTCCCTACCAGCTGCACCAGGAAGGTCGACTGCCTGAGGGCAGAGGAAGAGAATCATTGGCTCTGGAGTCGGGGGAACACCTGCGTAGCCGTCACCAGTGCCCAGCCCCAGAACATGAGCCGCCGGGCTCAGGGTGAGGTATGAAGACCTGGGATGAGAGGACCCAGGAAGAGAGTTAGGGAAGGGCAGGCAGTGACCAAAGCCAGGCCCTGGGGAGGTGGTGGAAGGTGGGCAGGAGCAGTCAGGGCAGGCTTCTTGGAGATGGGGGCACTCATGCAGTGAGAGGCAAAGGCTTGCTGGTGGGCTTTGTTCCTGGCCTGTGTCCTGCTCATTTGTCTTCCAAACACTGGGGAATGGTTCAGGCTGGTATTGGCATAGAGTGAGATATGTGTGTGTTTCTGTATCTGTGTGTGTGTCCCTGTGTGTGCTCACTGCCCTTACTTCCCTCCCTCCCTCACTCTCCTCACCGCCCTCACCTCCCTCACTGCCCTCACCTCCCTCACCTCCCTCACTCTCCTCACCTCCCTCTCCACCTGTGGTTGTCTGTCACGTATCTCCAGGTGTATTTGACGGTCAGCCCGCTCCCAGCTCTGACAATCAATGATGACCTTCAGTGTAGCTTTGGAGACTCGCTGGCACACCCTGCCCATGTGAAAGGAGACACCATCATCTGTAACTCCCCCAGCAGCATTCCCCCCACGCCTCCGGGCCAAGGTCAGGGGCCTATCTCTTCCCCAGAGTGAGGTTTCCTGAGACAGCCTCATGAAGCCAAGAGATGGCATGAAGGGCTGGGCAGAGTGATCAGGGTGACCAAAAGGGCCACAGTGATTGAATGACAATGAGTAAGAAGGAAGGCTGGGGAGCGAGGGTGAGGGGAGAAAGGGAGAGCCCAAGAGGAGGAGGAGGGAGATGGAAGGGCAGGGAGAGGTGCTTCCACGGGGGATGTGTCTCAGGGTCACCTGGCAGGCCTTCCTTCTCCAGGGACACTGAAATTAGGCCATTGCTGAGGTAGCTAGACTGCTGGGCCACACCTGGGCCCTGAATTCTTTGGAGCCTTTGGTGGGGAGGAGGGTGTGGGAGAGGCCAGGGCTGCCGGAGAGAGAGCAGAGAGTTGCTTTAGGACAGGGACCTGAGAGGTGCACCAGGTCTGGGCATCTGGCGAGACTTCATCCCACAGAAGTAAGGAGCCGCTGCTCCCCAAGGCTCCGAGGGAACGTCAGTGACGGCTCTTGGGGCTGAAACATGAGGCCTCTGGGCTTTGAGTGGCTCACCTGAGACGGGATCTGATAACTGCCTTTGTGGTAACAGGTGGAGTCAGCCAGGAAACTGGAGGGGGCGGGGGCAGGCCCTACCTTGTGTGAGCTGGCCAGGCCTGGGCACCTGGAGGGCCGCAAAGAGCTTCCGAGACAGTGAGGGGAGACCTGGACTTGTCAGAATTCTGTCTCTGGCCCTCGGCTGTCAGTTCATACCTCTGAATGTTGCTTCATCTGTAGAATGGGTATAAGAGTACTCACACCATGGAACTTAGAGGCTTAACTTCTGATGAAAACATCAGTCAGTCACTCTGCAAACTCTTACTATGTAGCCGGCTCTTCTGGGGATTCAAAGACAAAACAAATACAGTCCCCACCGTCAAGGAGCCCGCGTTCTGGTGGGGACATGCATGCACGCACACACACACACACACACACACACACACACACACACACACACACACACACACACACATACACACACACATGTGCATGTGCAGCATGCATAGATGACAGGGTGGGTGCAAGCCCCTGCGTGACCCCAGCCTTCAGGAGCTGGCCCCGTGACTGCACCAGCCCCCACCCCTGCTCAGCCTGCGAATGAGGCACTAACTCCTACCTAAAGTTTACAACAGTTCCTTGAGACCAGGAGCACAAGGCTTGTGTCCATTTCACAGATGAGGAAATGGAGGCCCAGAAAAGTCTCATAGCAAATGTAGGGTTTTAAGTGGGAAAGTACCTTGGAGATATGATCATCCAGTTTGCAGAGAAGGGGATGGAGGTTGAGAGAGTGGAAAGCACTTGACCAAGGTCATACAGAAAGTTCATGGTAAAGCTGGGGCCTTAAACTGGCCCTCTGAGTCACCCAGAGCACTTAGATGCAAAGGGCCCCTGATGGGGATGTCAGCAAAGGGGCGGCACTTCTAGAAAGCTCCCTTGACCTGCAGTCAGAGAGAGCAGGTTTGAATCACAGCTCGGTCCCTTTTCCAAACTGTGTGAACTTCAGCCTCAGTTTCCCCATCTATGAAACTGGCCAAAGGATCCAGCACCTTCTGCCCCCCCCCAGCGTCATTGGGAGGAAAACCTTTGTAGACCTTAAAGCTCCCTGGCCAGTGGGGCAACTAGGGCTCCCACAGCTCACTCACCTACTCACTGCCAGAACCTGGCTGACTCACCCCCCCCCATACCTTTGTGCTGCCCCCCCCCCGCCATGCCTTTGTCCTGGCCTCCCCCCATCACTGTACCTGGAATGCCCTCCACCCTCTCCTCTGCCTCGTAAAATCCCTGATTTTCTAGGAAACCCTTTCCGGTGTACCCAGCTGGTAGTGCCAAGCCTCCCCTCCCCCACCACACGGTATTTCTTTTGTACTTAATTACTCTTCCCTCCACTCGAGACGGAAAGCTCCCTGAGGACAGGGCTTGCTGCGGGCTTGGGCTTTTGTAGCCTCTCTGTCCCCGCCTACAGCCCGACTTGTACCCACTGCCTCATAGATACGGGTTGCTTAAGCAGCACGGGGTCTTAGAGCCAATCCAGTGTAGCCCCCTAATTTTACAGATGACGAAACTGAGGACCAGAAGTGGGTGTGCAGGTGTGTGGTGGTGGGGGGGACTGCTCACCCTCAAGCTCTTATTCTGTCCTCTTCTGCAGACCACGTGGAGGTCCGGATCGTCCTCACCTTCCTTCGGACTCCTGTGTTCTTGACCTCTCACATGTATCCGTTCTATGACTGCAAGGAGGCCATGAGTCTGGCAGAGAACGTGCCGTAAGTGTGCAGAGCCCGGTGCCAACAGGCCCTCACCCTGAGCCCTGTTAGTTGGGGACACAACCAGCCTGAGCCTTGCCTGGGGGGCACAGCTGGCCTGAGGCTGCTCAGGGGATCCATGACCTTTGGCCTGTGTCCACAGCCCCCTTGGGTGGCTCCCTCACCTGCCTGCTCCCCACCCTACAGGTGCATCTCTTGTGCCAGTAATCGCTGGAACTGCCAGTGGGACCTGAGATACCATGAGTGCCGAGAGTCTTCTGCCAACCCTGAGGAGGGCATCATCAAGTCCCACATGGTAAGGACAAGGCCAGGCCACATGGGTGGGGTGGGGCGGGACTGCAGGTGAGGAGAATCTCAGCTGGGACTCAAGCCCAGCCTGCCATAGACACTCTGGGCCACCACCTCTCCATCTGTGTAAAGGAGATCATGCCCCACAGCTTTGTGGCCTGGTACAGACATAAGGAGTGTGGGAGGTCCTGTACACAGATGGAAGTGTGCAAGCATAGGGCATACCCATGGCCAAGGGCAGACAGGGAGTGATCCTGACCTTACTCAAAGCAGGGGCCAGGCCCTGCCTGGGGGAGGGTCCAAGTGGGGAAACCACAGAAATCTGCCCTCAACTCTCTGCTGGTCTGCCTAACTGCCTCCCATGTGGCCTTGACATCTCTCTCTGTCCCAGCAGCCACGAGGTAGGTATGGGCACCTCTTGGAAAAGCAAAAGCCATCGATGATCTGGAGAGACCCCAGGCTCGGACTTGGAGAATCTGTGACCTTGTGCTCTCTGGGTGTCAGCTTCCCCCTCTAGAAACTGATGAGTTGGCCCATCTGACTGTGGAGGGCCCTCCCACTTCCACGCCTAGGACTCTATGGTTCCCAAATCCCCCCAAAGGGCATTAGTGTCTCTTCCCCTGGGGACAAGGCAGCAGGAGGTGCCCCAGAGGCCTGGGGTGTGTGCAGCAGGTGAGCCCTGCCTTGCTCACTGGGGCTGCTGGCTCTCATGACAGGAAGAGAACTGTCCCCAGTTCCTGAACCCCAGTCCACTGGTCATTCCCATGAACCATGAGACGCCTGTGACCTTTGAGGGAAAGAACCTAGATCCGGTGAAGGTGAGTGAGTGCAGCAACCTTAGTGGGCCCATCCTGGCAGCCCTCCCAACATGCACATATGTGCATGCGCGCGCGCGCACACACACACACACACACACACACACACACACACACACACGCGTGCACGTGTGCGGCTCTGCTATATAAATCAGGGGTGAGACTCCATCGATCGTGACCCTCCCAGCACTCCCAGACTGGGACTCAGAGGCCACCCTGCCCTGACTCCAAAGAATGAGGATGATTTAGAATATATCTCTCCAATTCACTGGAGATTTATCAAGGGCCAGCCCCAGGCTGACTTCTGCCAAAGAGCCCCAGTGCTAGCCCCTGCCCTTAAATTGCTACCAGTCTGCCAGAAGACACAGCACATGGATAGGTCCTCCTACTACAGGCTGGGTTCCCCTAAGTGGACCAGGGCTTCCTGCAAGAAGTGGCTGTCTGGGCCTCAAAGGACAGAATCCTCCTCTCACTCACCTCCCCTGCCTTAGCGGCATCACCTGTAAGCGCCCACACTGGCCACAGCCCATCCCCAGGCCTCATTCCCTCCAGGCTCTCTCCACTCCCAGCCATCATCCCTGCAGCTAGTGGGGTCTCTTCCCCAAGACCCTCAAGAGTGCTCTGACCATGGCATCCCCTACAAGACAGGGTGCAGGGCCTTCCGCAGCCCCATATGTCTCATTGCTCCTCTACACACTTGACACTGCAGCCAGACCCACACTTATCTCTGCGCTGACCTCTTTCTGCCTCGTATGCCGTATTCTCCAGCCTTCAGGCATTTGCTTCTGGTTTTCCCACCAAAATGCTACCTTCTCCAGGAAGTCTGCCCTGTTTTCCCTAAGGGCTTCACTGATGCACTTATGTGCCTTATCCAAGTCAAGTGATACATTCTATTTAATTTGGGTCAAGGGGTGTTTAAGAATCACCTACTGTGTGCCAGGCACTGAAGAGATAAAGATAAAAGCAAAACAGCCCTTACCTTCTAGGAGCTTATGCTCTCCTCAGTAATGGAGGGATACCACATGTATACTCATAAATACAAATTCTACAAAGCAATTTAGAAAAAGAAGAGAGGAGAAATCAAGTCAGAGAGTGCTAGCACCCAGGACAGAATAAGGAAAAGCTCCTTATAGGAGGTTGTGCTCTGATGGGAGTTACGGTTCTAAGCGGCATAGATGAAGAGGGATGGTATTGCAGGCATGCAGAACTGACTGCAAAGGCATGGGAGCTGGAGATGGGATGGTAAGTACAGAGAAGTTAGCAAACTCTGACTGAATGATGGAAAGATTACGTGGAAACATCCATATAGAAGGCAGGCATTGCCCATGGGCCCCTTCAGGTCTAAGACAATCCTCTGGAAGCTCTCTGGGAGCCCTGAGTCTGTGTGCCTCAGGGTGCCATAGCCCTGGGCCTTAGATTAGGCCCCAGCTGAGGGCGCTGCAGGATGGGGGAGGGGGAGGAGCTGCCTTGCCCCCTCCTCCCTCCGCAGGGGCCTGGGCCTCAGCACCAGTGTCCGAATGTCATGTATCTACTTTACCTCCCCTAGGTGAGCTCCCTGCACGTGGGCAGTGAGAAGCTGAAATTTGAAGAACCAGTGAGCACCGGGGAGTCAGGCACCTTTACTTTTACAACCCCCAAGGTATGGCCAGGTCAGGTCAGGCTAGCCAGGGGTGGGTGGGGAGCCCAGGCCTAAACCCCAAAACAGGAGGCGTGGAGCTCAGTGGGACCACATTTAATAGGTGGGGAGGTAGGTGACCTTGGATTCTGGAGGAAATGCCAGGGAAAGGAGGGAGTGGATGTCCATTCATTAGGAGAAACTGGGAAAGGAGCCAGGGAGCCAGGGCTGGGGGCAGGAAGGGGTTAAGGGCCCAGTGAAGGGGGGAAAGGAGGGGATGGCTTAGCCCTTTCCTGCATGGACACAGTGTAGCAAGTAGAGAACAAAGTATGATACAATGTAGCTATTTACCGGGGTTTCTATAGCCAAGTGTAGGGATACAATGTATCCCTCCTACTTCTTTCCTCCTGTCCATGGTCAGGGCTTGTAGGAGCACCAGTCAGTTCCTTGTGTGTGGTTGGCTTAGGGGTGCTCTGCAGCCTTGGGCCTCTGCCAGCCCACTGGGTGTCCCTGTGCCCCTGGGGCTGGGTGCTGCTGTGGGCCCCCCTTGGGGCAGGAGTCTGGGGAGTGCATAGCCACTGGGCCTCCTGCCTGCTGTCCCATTTCTCAGTTATCCTATGATGGGAATGAGACGCTGCCTCTGAACTTGTACATCAAGTCTTATGGGAAGAACATTGACAGCAAACTGGAGGGTGAGGCCTTCATGGACCAGGAGCTGAGGGCCCAGGATGGGTGGGGCCTGGGAGGAGGGGCAGAGCATGGATCGGTGGGGCCTAGGGGTGCATAGATGGGGGGGCATGGGAGGTGGGGGATGGAGGCCCAAGATTGGCAGGGGCATGGATGGGGTGGGGCCTGAGAGGGTGGGGCTGGGGGGCACAATGGAAGGGGGGAAGGGAGCAGGTCAGGGTAAAGGTGCTTCAACCAGGGCTCTTCCTTCCCTCCCAAACACTCTTCCTTCCACAGTGACCCTGTACAACTGTTCCTTTGGCCGCAGCGACTGCAGCCTCTGCCTGGCCTCCAACCCTGCCTACAGCTGTGTGTGGTGTGGGGGCCAGAATCAGTGTGTATACGAGGCCCTGTGCAGCAACATCACCACCGAGTGCCCGGCACCCGTCATCACCAAGGTGAAGCGCCTCGGCAGCTGCCCCCCCCACCAATATCCAGTCTTGGGGTGGCTCTGCCATGGATTTGCCCAGGCCTCTTTTCTTAAGTGCACCTTCTTAATCTGGGTCTACACTTCTGGGGCGTGTATACCTCTGTGCACACGTGTGCACACATGTACCCATCTCAGTGTGGTTGTTCTTGGACACTCTGGTCCCACAGCTCCCCCGCTTGTATGACCCCTGACGGGGGAGTTGCCTGTGGGCATGAAGGGCTGTGACTTTGGCCAACGTGCCTCATTGCATGGGCTGCGGCCAGGTCTCCTCACTGCTGCAGGGGTCAGGAAGGAAGGCACCTCAAGTGGGCCCTGATTGAGTCTTGGAGCTGGGCTCCTGCCCCATCCGCCCTGCCCTCCCTGGCTTCTTAGAGTTAGGTGGTGGTAGGAGAACCAGAGGATTGTGGGTATATGTGTGTCTCTGGGGGGCTTGGGGGGCACATGCATGCGGACCTGGGTACATGTTTGTTCTTAGAGCCGCTGGAGGGAAGGGGAAGCAGTTGAGGGGTGCTAGAATCCCCAGCCCACTCCTCCTAGGCCTCCCCTCTGCATTGGTGCCCGAGGCCTCACCACTGTTCATGGTTCTGAATGTTTGTCTCCAGATTGAACCTGAGACAGGCCCCCTGGGCGGTGGCATTCGGGTCACCATCCTGGGCTCTAACTTGGGCATCCGAGCTGATGACGTCAAGAGGATCACAGTGGCTGGCAAGAACTGTGATTTTCAGAAGGCCCAGTATTCTGTGTCCACCAGGTAACAGGATGGCACTGAGCCCCACTGCCAGACCTGCCCTGGGAGGTGGGAGGGGAGGAGATATGCCCCTTTACTCCCGATCGGGGTGCACAGCTGGGCCAGGCTGCAACATCTCAATTGCCCTAGGCTGGCCTCTCAGGGACCATCACCTCCTCAGGGAAGCCTTCCCAGATTTCTTCTCTTTCCCTCAGCGGTCTTTGTACTTACACCTCTGTGTCTGGACTCTGAGCTTCTTCTGGGCAGGCACTGTTTGTTTTGTCTTTGTACCCCCAGTGCCTAGAACAAACTGCACCTTGGCATGGGGAAGTTCCAGTGTGGAAATTCCCTGCACCCCTGCAGATGGGAGGCATAGCTGTGATTTATAATCTCGTGTGTTGCTTGGAGGCGCAGAGAGGTTAGGTCATTCACCTGAGGTTGCACGGCCAGCATGTCAGAGGCAGAACTCCCAGGCCAGCTTTCTATTATTCTGCCAAGCCACTTCTACCTCCATAGTGCAAGCTGAACGGAACTGAGGGGCCTGTGTAGACCCCGGGAGGGAAACGCCATGGGTGAACAGAGCCCTGTGGGGCAGGGGATTGGGACTGAGCAAAGAGACCTGGGCTTCCCTGATGGAACTGTTACAAGGCCCAAAGGGAGAAGGTGTGGGATCTGTGAGCCTGCCTCTGCCCCCCAGGATTGTGTGCGAGGTTGAGCCTTCTGAGGAAGCCATTACTGGGGGGATCGAAGTGGACATAAACGGGAAGCTGGGCCAGTCACCTCCCCACGTCCAGTTCACCTACCGGGTGAGTGAGGGGCCGGCCCTGGGGACCTGGGGGCTGCCTGGGGTTGACACAGGTTTGGGGGGAGGGAGGGACATTGTAACAGAAAGTGCCTTCAGTGAAGTCCTACCCCTGGGAGACACACGATGGGGCACAGGTGTGTGACATCTGTTTTGATGGGAGTGGCAGCTCAGGGAGGCAGGCTGGAGACTCAAAGCCTCGATGCCTAGCCTCTGGCCCAGGCCTGAGCACATGGCCAGTGTTTGTATCACTGCAGGAAGGAGAGGGAGGCGTCTCTGTCTTTTGTCTTTTGTGGCTCCCTGTTGCCTCCTGAGTAATATTCAGCCTCCTCTGGCTGGCATTTGAGGACGTCGGCAGCTCAATGCCCCCTCTGCCTTTCTAGCCCCATCTCATTCTACTCCTCTCCGTCCTCTCTGCTCTAGTGAGGCTGGACAGCTCTCTCCGCTTGAGATGTGTGGCATCTCATACTCTCCTTCGGGGTTTTCGCTCCCACTGTGTCCTGTGCTGGGAACGCCCTCCCCTCCTCTCCTCACCTGATGACCTGCTACCCCTTCCCATGGCTGAACGCCGAGCTGGGAGCCTCTGTGCCATCCCCCTCCCCCGCACTCTGGGTGCCCCTTTCTAATGCTTTTGTCATGTAATGTTGCTTCCTGCTGAGTTCTCTGCTGGTGTCTAGACTGTGAGCTCCCTGAGGGCAGGTGCTGTGTCTTTGTAAAACTCTGTACCTCCCCCAGCTCTCAGCACCCAGAAAGCACTTAATAAATGTGGCTTGAATTGTCTGTGTGTCTCTGTCTCTGTGTCTCTGTGTGTTGTGTCTGTGTACGTCTCTGTGTCCGTGTGATGTCCATTGCCGGGGGCAGAGGGCAGGTAACACCTCACACTCAGCCACTGGGTCATTCGAACACCCCCTAAGAGACTCCACTGAGCAGTGACCACCCCCCTCCCCGTAGTGCTCTGCTCTGAGGGAGCTATAGGTCAGAGGACTCAGGCCAATGTGCTCAGGGATAAGGGTCTTGACCTGGGCCTTGGGCCTGTCTCCTCCCCAGCAACCAGTACCCAAGGAGGTGAGCCCCATCCAGGGGCCCCAGGCTGGCGGGACTACCCTGGTCATCAGCGGCTCCTACCTAGACACCGGTTCCCCCAAGGACGTCCGGGTGATCCTGGGCAACTCCAAGAAGGGTGTGCCCTGCGAGGTGTATGTATCACCACCCTCAGACCCCCCGGCTAGGGCAGCCCCCAGGAAGAGAGTGAGGAAGGGACTCAGCTGGCCCAGTGACTCCCCTCTGCTTCTCCCTGCAGCATCGAATTTGGGCCCGACATCCGATGTGTCACAGGGCCCTATGAGGCCCTGGGCGAGGTCCCCATTGAGGTCTTCTACGGCAGTTCCTTGACATCAGGGAACCGAATCACCTTCACTTACCGGGAGAACCCTGTGCTAAAGGCCTTTGAGCCTCTGAGGAGCTTTGTCAGGTAATAAGGCCCACCCACCTGCTGTGGAGGTACACAGACACACTTGGAGGCACCTGCGTGTAAACACACACACACACAAACACACACACGAATCCTTCCCCCCTCCCCAAGCCTGCCCTCCAAATGCAATTGTCCCAGAGTGAGGCTGTCCAGACCCTCCAGGCTTGTCCATATCCACTCCAGGGATCTTGGCCCTACTGGGGATGAGTGGGAAGCCTGAGGCAGGAGGGAAGGGTCCCCAAGAAGCCAGTCCCTTCCCTGCTGCTGCTGATGGAAGGCAGAAGGAATGCAGTGAGGCAGGTTTGGGCACCTTCTGGGAAAACCCCAGGCCTGACTCAGGCCTCTCCCTGCCCCTTCTCTCCCATTCTGGCTCAGCTCTGCAGCTTTCTAAACACCGCCAGCCCTCGCTGTGGCTGCCCTCTTGAATGCTCTGACTATGTAACATTGCTTCCTGCTGGGTGGTCCCCCAGGCTCAGCTTTCTGCCCGGCATGTGTTGGGCTGGGTGGGTGGAAGTCTCATCCGCCTCTGATCTCTAAGCTGCTTGGCCTGTGGGCAGACAGACAGCTGAGGAAAGGAGTGAGGGGCCTGTCAAGGTGACTCCCTTCTCTCCTCGGAGGACATGAGGCCCAGGCCCTTCCTGCCTCAGATAGCAGGGAAGGAGAGTCTGGGGCGTGTCTATAAATGGCATTACGTCAGTGGGGGCCTCCTCTAGCACAGGTGGCTTATGGTTATAAGCTTGCTACCTCTGGCCCAGCGGACTCCCAGGCTGAAAGAAGCCATGCATGGGGGCGGCAGGGCGCCACGAGCTGCTGGGCGGTGGGCAGCTGCGCTTCCTGCTGCCGCTAACCCTTTGCCCTTGGTTTTCCCAGCGGAGGCCGCAATATCAACATCACAGGCCAGGGATTTGACCTGATCCAGAACTTCTCCATGGTCGTGATTGCAGAGCCCCTCAGATCTTGGAGCAAGAGGAGGAAGAGGCAGGCTCAGAGCCCCCTCCAGGCCACGACGGTCAGTCCCTCTGCGGCTTTCCTCCCTCCCCCTTCCCCCTGAGGCCATGCCCACCCCTCCCACAACCTGACCCCTGGGGAGATGATGCCCCAGACTGACCAGACGAGGGAGGTCAGCACCCAAAAGGCCTGGGTCCCAAGGAGCATCCGCAGGGATCTGAGAGAAGACAGCTCAGGGTCTGAGTTACAATGTTTCTGGGCCTGGAGAGGATCTGTGTCACATGAGAGAGATTGGAGCATGCCTACTTGTCAGGCACATGCTTCAAGGGATCTCTGCTTCTGCCTGCTTGTTAGAATCATTGCTTTGGGATGGAAGGTGATCCCTCCCAGCTCAGAGGGCCTCTGCCTGCAGCCAGTGGGGGCATATTGATTTCTGTTTGCAGCCCATTCACTATTGATGGAAATGGCCTGGGGTGGGGGAGTGGGAAGGGTCAGTGCAGCCTCAATGAAGCTGGGGACCTCAGTGGGAGCCTGTGTCTGGGAAAAGACGGTTTGGTTGGCAGAGACTCAGTTCATGCCCAACTTTGAGGCCACTTGGCCACTTCCAGCTTGCTCCAGGGCCAGAGATCTGGTTGTGGTGGGCACTGGGGACCTGGCCCATGGGCTGAGGAAGGAGGGGTTGCCATCCCTTGTGACATCATCTGTCATGGTCCACAGGTGGTAGGGACCACGTATATCCGGTACAGTGACACCAAAGTCGTCTTCTCATCCCCCCAAGTCCCCGACGAGCCCGAGGCCTACAACATCACCACACTGCTCCAGATGGACGGCCACCGTGTCCTGCTGAAGACGGAGGCGGGGGCCTTTGAATACGTTCCAGACCCCACCTTTGAGAACTTCACCGATGGGGTCAAGAAGCAGGTCAACAAGCTTATCCATGCCAGGGTGAGGAGGCGACGGAGCCTGTCCTCAGGAGGCTTCCCAGCCATGGGTGGGGGGCTGACCTTCACAGCTGGGAAGTGCTGGGTGAAACTTATCCCCTCAGGGCCCTGAGACTTTGCATAGCAGCCCGGATGGGGCAGGATGGGGCATGGGAGGGCAGCCATGAAGTCCTAGGTGAGGGGGAGGTCTGGTCAGGCTAGAGCAGTCAAGGAAGGCCTCAGGCCTCAGCTTCATTATCTATAGATTTGATGGGTTTTTTTTTTTTGGTTAGACAGTGGGGTTAAGTGACTTGCCCAGGGTCACACAGCTAGTAAGTGTTATGTGTCTGAGGCTGGACTTGAACTCAGGTCCTCCTGAATCCAGGACTGGTGCTCTATCCACTGCACCACCTAGTTGCCCCTCATTATCCCTAGATTTGGTTTGACCAAGGTGCTCTCCCAGGCCCTTCAGGCCCCCATATTTTCGGGTTCCTGGTATCCATCCATGTCCTATACCTACTGGGGCTGGATGCAGCGGTCAGCTCCCCCCGCAGAGCAGGGCCTTCAGGGATTGTAGTGCCTTGACCTTCCATTCGCCTTGTCCTGCCTCTCTCACCTCCCCCCCCCAGGGCACCAACTTGAATAAGGCAATGACCATCCATGAGGCAGAGGCATTTGTGGGTGCTGAGCGATGTTTCATGAAGACGCTGACTGAGACCGACCTGTACTGTGAACCCCCAGAGGTACAGCCACCCCCCAAACGGCGGCAGAAGCGGGACACCACCCACAACCTTCCTGAGTTCATCGTAAGTCACGGGGGGCACCCAAATGCTCACAGCTGGCTACAGAATCGGCTCCTGAGGTGGGGGTGAGGAGTGAGTGACACGTGGTGTGGGGGCATTACCGGCTGAGCTCCCCTCCCTCACACGTGCACTCAGGGAGAGGAAAGAGGAAGATACACAATGCTGGGGCCCAGGTGCTCCAGACCCCTTCTACCCACCCCTTCATGCTTAGCTTTCAGATGCCGGGCAGGGATGTTTGAAATAATTCACGCTGCTGATTGCAGCCTTAAAACATTTAAGTCAAATGGAGGTGCTTCAGCAAGGCCCCTCTGCAAGCCGGGAGGGCTGTGTTCATCATACATCCTTCGAGCAGGTCCCTGAGGGTCCCTAGCAGGCCACACTTTGGGAGCACCATATGGCTTATCACTCATGGCCCAAAGTGAGAGGGGCCGTTCTCAGGCTGATGCTCTTCACTTGGCCCAGCCTCACTTGGCCCGACTGTCCATGCAGTATGGACAGTGCCTGACAGCTTAAGGCATCTCTCCTGAGGGAGACTCAGAGGGCAGGCTGAGGTTGGCCTTGCTTAAACTGAACAAAGGGATTTCTGAGCCCAGGCACCATGGGGGCAGGAGGGCAGGAAGACCACGCACTTGGTCAAGGGGACAGATGAGTTCTCCCAACTTTGGGCTCCCGTGTGCATGTGAGCCCTGGGTGTGCTGCTTATAAGTCATTCTCACCTGTTCATTAAAGCAGAGCCCTGTGCAGCAATACCAGGCCGGTCTTGGGCTGCTTGGCTGTAGAAGAAGTGACTGGAATTTCAGGACAGTCTTTATGTGCCCACAGGGGCCCAGCTGATTGGAGCCATAGGAACCTAGCGCCCTCTGGGCCCGTGCTTTGTGCCTCCGTGCCTGCCCGCCGGGTGTGCACTTTGTAACATTAATCACATGCATTGACTGTGTGGGACCCTGTGCTGTGAGCTGCAGAAACACTAAAAGTGACTCGTGTCTGCCCTCAGGGAGCTTAGGTCCTGTGCTGCCCCCTCATGGCTGGGAGGTGTCCTGAGCCTTCACACCACCAAGGGGCACACATCATTGCCAGGAAGGCTTGGGGTGCAGACCAGTGAGGCTCTGGGGGCCAAATAAGCTCCCCAAAGAGGGGGCGCTGCCCACTCCAGGGGACAGCCACTGGGGAATGGATTGGTTGGTGATTTGTGTCAGGACCCACACTGACCCAATCACATAATCGTGTCTCATGAGTGATGTATCACACATGTACATGCCCAGCCCCACCTGGTGTGTGTGTGTGTGTGTGTGTGTGTGTGTGTGTGTGTGTGTGTGTGTGTGTGTGTGTGAGACATGAACGGGTTAGGCATCTCCCACATCGTGCCCACACATGCATGGCCTACGTCCTAAGCAGGTCTGTCCTTTGTGGTCCAGGTGAAGTTTGGTGCCCGCGAGTGGGTCCTGGGCCGCGTAGAGTATGACACGCGGATGAGCGACATGCCCCTCAGCATCATCCTGCCCCTGGTGATCATCCCCATGGTGGCCATCATTGCCTTCTCCATCTACTGCTACTGGTGAAGCTCGCCCCTCCCCCATTCCCAGGCTGCCTTGGGGCTGCCCCAGCTCCTCCTGCTCACCCTTGAGCCCAGTTCTCTGGCCCAGCCAGGCTTAGACCTCGATCCCCACCCCCAAACCATCACTTCCTTCCTCTCCCTTGGGCTCCTGGACATCTCCCCCGCCCAGCTCCCTATCGTCCTCCTTTGCGGGGAGGGGTGGAGATGGCCGATCCCAAACCGCTGACGATCCCACGGACCTTTGCTTGCCTTCTGTGACCCCTGAAGGTTAGGCTTGGGTCTGGGTACAGGGCTGGGGAGCACTGGTAGTGAACCACCCCCTAAAGTACCAGAGCCTCAGCAGGGGCCAGGACTTAGCCACTTAGCAGCTCCCACTGCCAACCTCCCCCACTTGTTGGCCTGAGCTTAGGGTCATGGGGCCCCCTTCCCAGCCCCTCAGCCTCCTTCTCTGCTGTCAGGCAGGAACATGGGGCCAGGGCCACTAACCAGCTGGGGCTTGGGCTTCTCCCCAAAGGCGGAAGAGTCAACAGGCCGAACGCGAGTATGAGAAGATTAAGTCTCAGCTGGAAGGCCTGGAGGAAAGTGTCCGGGACCGCTGCAAGAAGGAGTTCACAGGTGTGTGTGTGTGTGTGTGTGCGTGCATGCGCGCATGCGCGCATGTAGGGGGAAACAGCAAGGGTCTCCTGACTGCTTGTTCTTGGGAAGAAGGAGCATTGTAAGGCAGTGTAGTGGGTAGAACACTGGCCTGGAATCAGGAAGACCTGAGTTCAAATCCGGCCCCAGACACTTACTAGCTGTGTGACCCTGGGTAAGTCACTTCACCCTGTTTGCCTCAGTTTCCTCTTCTGTAAAATGAGCTAGAGAAGGAAATGGCAAACCTCTCCAGTATCTTCACCAAGAAAACCCCAGATGAGGTCATGGAGAGTTGAACACAATTGAAAACAGCTGAACACAAGGTCAGCTCTTAGAGGCATTGAGGGGAAAGTTGGGATAGAGCTTCCTGACCAGCCCAGCCCTTGGGGCTGCCTCTCCCACCTTGTCCTCACACGCCCTGAGGTTGTGGCGCCGTCCAGGCCCTGCCTGTCCCTTTCCCTAAAGCTGCCCTCCCCCCCAATTCTGTACCCCCCTGCTCGAGGCCCTAGCAGATTGATACCAGATGTGGACACTCACTTCTCGAGGGCAGGATGGGGGAGTGCACTTTCAAAGTTTTCCCGTGGCTGAGTAACCTTCAGCTGGTATTTACCGATGATGCCCTGAGTGACCAGAAGCCTGTTGGCAGAGACAGGAGAGAAGACTACTTGGGCTCTGCCTGAGAAAGATGAGACTTCATCTAGAGGGAAACATGAGCAAGGGAGGGGCACTGAGTCACTGGACCAGGTCAGAGGAGGCAGGGGCAGCGGGGGCCAGGCTGAGGGGTGGGACGTGACCATTGCCAGATGGCCATGACGTGAATGGGAGGGGCAGGCGGTGAGCCCTCAGGGGGCACTCAGCCCAGCCTGACTCCGGTCACTCCCCACAGACCTGATGATTGAAATGGAGGACCAAACCAATGACGTGCACGAGGCTGGGATTCCTGTGCTCGATTATAAGACCTATACAGACCGGGTCTTCTTCCTGCCCTCCAAGGACGGTGACAAGGACGTCATGATCACAGGGAAACTGGACATCCCTGAGTCTCGCAGGCAAACAGTGGAGCAGGCTCTCAACCAGTTCTCCAACCTGCTGAACAGCAAATCCTTCCTCATCAATGTGAGTGGGTGCAGGGGGAGGGGGACGCAGAGGAGGAGCAGCCCTGCCCTGCCCTCAGGGGGCTGCCAGTGGGGGGGGGGGATGACAGAGGAGGAGTAGCCCCAAGCATATGAGCCTACCACACTGAGCCCAGAGAGAGTCCCCTCACTCCAGTCAAACCCTATGACCCCGTCCCTTCCTAGAACTTGGTGCAAGGAAAGCCAGGTAGTGACAGGCCTTGAGTGGCACTTGTTGCCTCTTCTGTGCAGTGATTGGGCACTGGGGTGGGCATGAAAAGCCTGCCCTGTAGGCAGGTTTTGTCCCTGGAGGGTGAGGCCATGGGCGGCTGTGACCCTGCTCTGCCCGCCCCCAGTTCATCCACACACTGGAGAACCAGCGGGAATTCTCAGCTCGGGCCAAGGTCTACTTTGCGTCCCTGCTGACGGTGGCCCTGCACGGGAAGCTGGAGTACTACACGGACATCATGCGGACACTCTTCTTGGAGCTCATGGAGCAGTACGTGGTGGCCAAGAACCCCAAGCTGATGCTAAGGAGGTACCGGGGGCCACGGGGCTCTGGCAGGGAGGGGGGGAGCACACGGAGGTCGTCACAGAGCGTGTCATGTGTGTGCACAGGACGTGTGCATGAGACATGCGTGACCTGATGAGGAGGTCATCATGTGTGTGCACGTGAGACGTGCGTGGCCTGGTGAGGAGGTGTATGGTCTGAGATACACACAGTGGGGCTGTGGCCCTGGGAACCTTTCATCCTGCGTGACCGTGGCCTTTCATTGTGTCCATGGCGATATAAGGATAACCCCAGCTTGTGTGTGTAGGTGTTCAGGACCCTGTGATAATGTATGGCTGATGCTCCAAGGTACTGTCAGTCTGTCAGTCAGCATTGCTTAAGCACCTGCTATGTGCCAGGCACCACGCAAAGGGCTGTCAGACTGACTAGGAGAAACTGCTGATAGTTAGTGAGTGCCCTTTCTTCTTCCCTGTCTCACCTCGTCCAGCCTCGTGCTGCCTCTGTCTAGCTACGTGTCCTTGGCGAAGTCCCCTTTGTGGCTCTGTTTCCTCACTGGAGGATGAGGCCTAGATGGCCTCAAAGGTCCCTCCATCTTAAGATCTAGGATCCCACGACTAGGTCAAGTGCCCGGTCTGCCTGACCTCTCTGGGCCCCCACCCCCATGACCTCTGCCCCCTCGTTAGATTGTCGCACTCCTTGAAAGCCGGCCCCTCTGCATCCCCAAGCCAGAGGACGTGCATGCTGTAAAGAGAAGGCATTTAAGTAGTGTGTGTGTGTGTGTGTGTGTGTGTGTGTGTGTGTGTGTGTGTGTGTGTAGAGAGAGAGAGAGAAAGAGAGAGAGAGAGAGAGAGAGAGAGAGAGACTTTACTAATATCAGGAGCCCTCAGGAGTGGGGTAAAGTCCCAGCTCTGATGCTGACCAATTCTGGGACTTTTGGGCAAATCATTTAAGCTGGCCCTCAGTTTCCCTGTCTGTAAAATCCAGGGGGTGGGCTAGCTCTCTCTCAGGGGTTCCCAGCTCCGTCCCATGACTGGGCAGGCACTCCTTCCCTGAGGTCTCAGGCTGACACGTCTTGGAGATGTTTGGTTCAGGGAAAAGGCTGAACCAGGCTGAGATAATGGTGAGACACAGGGTAGCCACTGAGCTCCAGCCACTCCTGTCCACCTTAGCCAAGCCTGAGCAGCCCCCCCCCCCACATACACCTGTTGGTGCCTACAGCTCAGGGCTGGGCACTGAGCCCTCTGGCCACCTGCTGTTTCCAGGTCAGAGACTGTGGTGGAGAGAATGCTGTCCAACTGGATGTCCATCTGTCTATACCAGTATCTCAAGGTGAGACCAACTGAGTCCCCTCTATCTTGGGGGGGTGGGAAGGGAGCGCCCTGCAAAGACTTTGGGGGAGCCAGGAGTTCTGTAGGGTGCTGCCCTCCATGGGTCCTTCAGTTCCTCCTTGTCCCACAGATCTCACTGTGGTGGGGCTCCCACCTGGCCAGCCTCTGCTCTTGGCCCCCAAGCTCATCGCCCGTCCTCATCACCTGGGCTTCTAGAGCTCACCGGGCCAGGCTGGAGTCCACAGGCAGCATGAGCTGCCAGGGCCAGGAGACAAAGTGGCATGACTTCGTGGCCTGGCCCCCACGCCCTCCACCCCTAGAGGGCCCAGGCTGACTCAGTGTCCTCTTCCAGGACACCGCTGGTGAACCTCTTTACAAGCTCTTTAAAGCCATCAAACACCAAGTGGAGAAGGGCCCTGTGGACGCTGTGCAGAGGAAGGCCAAGTATACCCTGAATGACACAGGTCTACTGGGGGATGACGTGGAGTACATCCCGCTGGTGAGCCTCAGCCCCCTCCCTGCTTCTCTCCTGGCCGCTCTTGTGCCCCTCCCCCTCTTCCCATCACTGACTCCTTGGGTGGCCTTGGCCTTGGGAAGGCACTTCTTTTCTCTGGGCCTAGAGTCATAAAATGAGAAGTTGAAGTAGGTGTCCTCATCCTTCTAACTCTAAATCTGTGATGTGATTTCCCCAGTTACTCACAGCCTCCCAACCCTTGTGGCATAGTGTCCTCTGAGCCTCCTTATGGGGGACACCCCCAAACCCCTCCCATTCTCGGATTCCTCCTGCCTGTCCACAGTCCCAAGCTTTCACAGAAGTCCCATGTGTCCTTAGACTTCCCTCCCCCCACCCTCATGTCCTCCCCATCCTGAACCAGCTTCCTCTGCAGAGACTCCTGCTCAGATCCTCCTCCACAACCTCAGAGACCTGGGGGGTTGGGGGGAAAGGGGGGCCAGGGAGAACTGAGCTTGCTACAGTGGGGGAGGGGGTAGAAGGCTCTTGGGTCCAGACTCAGCAGGACCTCGAAGATCAGGCTAATGTGGGTGTGGGTGGGTGGGTCTGTGTGTCTGTGTGTGTGCATGTGTGTCGGAGTGAGTCTGTATATGTGTGTAACTGCAAACCTGTGTGAGTCCATGTGTGTAAGTGGGGGGAACCATAACAGGTGTGGTGAGGGCTGTATATACACACACACACGTGTGTGTCTGTGTCTGTGTCTGTGTGTGTTTGTGACTGCTTGTGTGACCCAGCTGGGCTCAGCCGTGCCCGCGTAGCCGGGCTGACATTCTCTGAGTCTGCGAATCTGCCATTTTTGCTTCATTCATCATCCTGGGCTCTCAGCAGCTGCTCCCTCCACCCCCTCCCCAGGCTGCCTTCTTGGGCCCTGAAGGACAATCTGTCTAGTCCCTGGAGTGGGGAGGGGGGCTCCAGGCGTCTTGCTCCGCTAAGCTTCTAGCATCTTTCTGAATTGTTCCATGGCTGATGTGGCTGTTTCCAAGGCCTATCCTGTCACTGAGGCCTCGGGCCTCATGGAAGCTAGAGCCTGTGAAATATGCACCTTCTAGTTATTCCTAATTAAAGCCGTGCCTAGAGCAGTAGCCTTAGCGAGCCCTGTCCGTGGACATGGCAGGAGAGGTGAGATGTGTGCCTTTTTTTCCCTTTCTGGGGCTGGAGTCCTCACTAACGGAGAGTCTGGGATTATCCTGGCTAAGATTGAGGCCAGCTAATCCAATCGGCATTCTGCCAGATTCAGTGGGAGGAATCAGGCTAGCTCCCTGGAGGGGGGGCAGGACCTGAGGGGAGATGCCACCCTGCTCTCAGGGATACCCCGCCACCTCCTGAGCAAAGAAGGGGCCTTGAGGGAGCTCCCAGACTGAGAGCAAACCCAGCCCTGCCCTTTAGGATTCTCCAGCAGAGAGGGGGGCGAGGACAGGACAGGGCTTGGGAGCTGACCATTAGAGTGGCATGCTGGAAGGGATGGCAGAGCCCGAGGGCCCTGTCCAACCAGTGCAACCCCTCTTCCCACAGACTGTGAATGTTATCGTTCAGGAGGAAGGTGTAGACGCCATCCCTGTCAAAGTCCTCAACTGTGACACCATCACCCAAGTAAAAGAGAAGATAATTGACCAAGTGTACCGCACGCTGCCCTGCTCGAGGTGGCCCAAGGCCGAGACTGTCGTCCTGGGTATGCGCTCACCCATGCACGGGCTGGGTGCGGGCTGGCAGGGGGGCTCAGAATTGAGGCGTCCCAGGCAGAGGCCTGGTGCCGGGTAAAGGGGGAGGAATTTCTGGGGGGCCGGTCTAGAAAGGCTCTTTGGAGACAGATGGAGAAACAGCCCCCAGGGAGGAAAAGGCAGAGAAAGTTGTGTCCCAGGAGCTGAGGGAGGACAGACTGTCCTGGAGGAGGGCAGGAAGGGCAGATGGGACAGCAGTGCCAGGCAAGGAGGAGCAGGAGGGCTCCTGAGGCCTCGGGTGAGGAGGAAGGAGGCCATCAGTGACCTTGGCCAGAATACTTTTACCTGAGTGATGAGCTCAGGAACTGCAAGTGCAGGGGAGTGGAGGGAGAGAAGCGAAGGTGGGGAAACTGGCCTGGCTGCGCAATGGGGAGTCTTGAGGCCAAAGTAAGAGCAAACGGCACATTTTCTTAAAGATGGGAATGTTTTCAGGAAGCAAGAAGAGAGGAGAAGTGGGGGAGAGGGAGGGAAAGAGGGGGGGGAGAAGGAAGGGAGAGAGAGAGATAAGAGAGCGAGAGAGAAGGGGAGAGGAGAGAGGACACCAGTTAGGGGACAAGCTGCTGGCCTAGGAGGGTTTTGAAGTCCCAGTGTGGGCAGCTAGAAAAGAGAAGGTTTGAAACATCAGCTGTGGGAATTGGGACAGGGAATCAGTAGGAAGGCATTCAAGGATCATCTTGTGTGTCCAGAGCCCAGTTGAGATTAGTTAGATGTTTGTGGCTGCTTTGGTCATGTGACTAATCTAGGCCATGAGGAGGAAGAGGGTAGGAGCTGTTCAGGACTGGGTTTGGAGGGCCGAGCAGGGCTGGGATGGGGAAGGGGGAGAGAGGGTGAGTGAGGGCAGCAGAAAGTCAACCCGAATCTCGATGGGGCTGAGATTGGGAGGGGGAGGCAAGTGTGAACGGAGCGGGGATGCTGGCCAGAGAGAACAGAGGGGTGGACGGGGAATCACAGGCCAAGGGAGAGGTGGCAGAATGGGAGGCTGTGACCCAGAAGCAGACTGCCCGAGTCCTGGGCCATGGACATAGCAGACAAGTAGGTGATGGAGGGAGAAGATGTAAGATATGGTCCCTTTGTATGGCGGAGGTGAAGGCAAGATGCGGGTCATGGGAGGCAAGGAGGTTGATGACCTGGGAGGCTGTAAAGGTGATTCCTGCTCAGGCACAGGTTAGACGGGATATCTCTGGGGCCCCTTTCACCCCAGAGAATTGCTAAGGTGAAGGATTCCTTTGTCAGATTTGGCATTTATAAAATGGGTCACCTGAACCCTGTGGCATGTGAAGGCACGTATGTGAGCTGAGCTGTCTCCCCACAGAGTGGCGTCCTGGATCCACGGCCCAGATCCTGTCTGACTTGGACCTCACCTCACAGCGTGATGGCCGCTGGAAACGGATCAATACCCTCATGCATTACAATGTAAGTGTGGCCACAGCCTGGCCCCTCTCTTCCAGTCATACGTCCCCTCCCCCCATTCCTGGGCCCCTCACTAGCTCAGCCATGTCCCCCCATTTCCCGGCCTCTCATTATCTCAGCCATGCCCAATGTCCTGGCTCCTTGGCTGGGCCAAGGAAGCCATCAGTGCCTCCAGCAGTCCTGGAAAGGCCCCAAGGGTTGAGTCTGGGGTTGACCATGGGAGGGGGCCGTGGTCCCAGCAGCCCTAGAGCTACATAATAGTCGTGTACTGCCAGGTCCGGGATGGGGCCACCCTCATCCTTTCTAAGATGGGGATCTCCCAGCAGCCTGAGGACAGCCAGCAGGACCTGCCTGGAGAACGTGAGTTCCCTCTTCTCCCTCCCCAACCTTTTTCCTCCTTGGACTCTGTGTCTGTGTCACCATGGACAGGTCACTTCCCTCTCTGTGCCTCAGTGCCCTCCAGAGTCCTTGAGGTTAGAGTTCGAAGTTCTCAGGCTACCAGATGGTGCTGCGATCCACAGGGGCTTCCCCCTTCCTCACGGAGCAATGCCCGCCAATGGCTTTTGGGGGGTAGGGCAGGGAGCAGAGCTCTTCCTGGGTCCTGGGGTCACTCAACTCCATTTAAGGCCCAGTTCAGGACGGCCTCCTCCACCCTCAGCCCATCCTCTCCTCCACTCCAGGCCATGCCCTTCTGGAGGAGGAGAACAGAGTGTGGCACTTGGTAAGGCCCACAGACGAGGTGGAAGAAGGGAAATCCAAGAGGGGCAGCGTGAAGGAGAAGGAGAGAACGAAGGCCATCACGGAGATTTACCTGACCCGCCTGCTCTCGGTGAAGGTGCGCCCATGGAGGCCCACTCCGAGCAGGGGCTAGGGGCTGGGGGCTGGGGTCCTACCGGTGGCTTCTGGCTGGCGCTGGCCTCTCACCCCGGCTTCCCTCCTGTCCCCATAGGGCACACTGCAGCAGTTTGTAGACAACTTCTTCCACAGCGTCCTGACCCCCAGCCCGACCGTGCCGCCAGCTGTCAAATACTTCTTTGACTTCCTGGACGAGCAGGCAGAGAAACACGAAATCAAGGATGAGGACACAATTCACATCTGGAAAACCAACAGGTGATGGCCGGGAGGGAAGGGGACCCTATCCTCATCTGGAAAGCCAGAACAGCCTGGCAAGGGACTCTGCCCATTCTACTGCTGTGGTGCAGTTGAGGGTGGCCCTGAATTCTGCTCTGTCCTCCTTCCTCTCCCGCCCATTCCAGCACCCTTGAATGTACCCCGTCACCATGCTACTTGACCTCCCTCAGTTTACCGTCTGTGGTCTCCCTCTAAGTCTGCCTCTCTGTGGCCTCCTCCCTCAGTTTACCGCTCCGGTTCTGGGTGAACATTCTGAAGAACCCTCACTTCATCTTTGACGTCCATGTCCCAGAAGTCGTTGACTCTTCCTTGTCTGTCATTGCTCAGACTTTCATGGACGCCTGCACCCGGACAGAGCACAAGCTGAGCAGGGTGAGTGGGCCCCTCAGGTACCGGAGTGCCCCCAGACCCCCCAAACATGGCTGCTTCCCCAGGCTCTGCTTTCTCCCCCTCCTCCGTTTGAGCTGCGAGCCATCAGGCCGACGGCCTTTGAGAGAAGGGGGGGTCTCTCTGAGGCTGGTGCTGTGCGTCCGTCCAAGGTGGGCAGGGGACCTTCTCCCCACTCTTTGCTCTTCCCGGGTCAGTTCTCTGCTATCTGCTTGGAAGGTCATTCCCAGACTTCCGACACCCAGTGTGGGGCTGGGAGGGCACATTTCAGAGCCCAAAACTTCGGCTTGTGGGGACCGTAAGATTGGAGATCCAGAGCTAGAAGACCCCTAAGAGGCCATTGAGTCCAGCCCCCTCATTTTGCAGATGAGGAAACTGAGGCACAGAGCAGTGACTTGCTCAGAGTCACACAGCTAGTAAATACCTAAGGAGGGATTTGAACTTAAGTCTTAGGGACCCATGCTCTATCCACAACACCACCTAGCTGTTGCTTGGAGTGCAGATGATGGGGAGGGGCCTAACTGTGGGCTTGGAAGCCCCTTGTGTGTGGAGGGGGGGTGGCTTTGATCTTATTTTTATTGCTATCTTGCTTCACTTCCCAATAATCCCTTCCCTCCTCCCTACCAAGCAACCCATCCTTCATAACAAAGATTGAAAACAGAAAGAAATGAAAAGTCACTTGGTCATTCAGTAGCACCTCTCATCAGGAGACCTGGGACACTCTGGCATCTTCTGGAGTGAGACCTCCCTGCCTCACTTTACCTCTGTGACCTTCTTGCCCAAGACTAAGAATCAGGGAGAGCAAATGGTCACACAGCAACACAGGGACAGAGCTCAGAGAGAGCTCGGCTGCTCTGCCAGGGGCCCCCATTCCCCCGGGCGGTGTTTGCTGGTCTGGCTGAAGTGCACGGCACTCAGGACTTGGGGGGAGGTGCCAGAAGCCAGCTCCCTCCTCCACCCCCCTCATCTCTTCCCTGCCCACCCCCTCCCCCATCCCCCCTTCCCCCATCCCCCCCCCCCTCACCCCCAGGACACCTTCGCCTTCTCCCCAGGCAATCCCATGCCTCTGGGAGCCTGGGCTCCAGGATCTTGGTTTCAGTCCCTTCGCCTCTTCATTTGTCAGATGGGCATAAGCCGGTCGCTCCCGCCTTCCAAGGGCACTGTCAGGAAGGCTCCTAGAGGGCCCCTTTAGGGAGGGCTGGGCCTGAGGGTCACTGGCATCTCTTCTTCCCCAGGACTCTCCTAGTAACAAACTACTCTATGCCAAAGAGATTTCCACCTACAAGAAGATGGTGGAGGAGTGAGTACGGCCCCTGTCCTGCCCCCTCCCCCATTTCTTTGTCTCTGGCCTCGGAGCCTGGGACCAAGAGTGCTTTCCTCCTCCCAGAACCCTCTGTGCTTGGGTCAGGTGGGCCTGCCCCCCACCCGCCGCAGCCCAGCATGTTTCTGTCCCGGGTCTGGCTCCAGGGGGCTCTGGCCCAGCCCTGGCCTCTGACCAGGGCCTTCCTGAGGCCTCAGTGGCTGGCTGGAGAGCCCAGGTTGGGTGGGGAGGGCTGGATGCCCCAGTCCCTCTGCAGCTGGTGAGCTCCCTACTCAACCAGCTATTTGTCTGTCTGTCTGTCCCCTCCAGTTACTACCGAGGGATCCGACAGATGGTACAAGTGAGCGACCAGGACATGAACACCCACTTAGCCGAGATTTCCCGGGTAAGGAGGGGGGAACGAGGGGGCAGCCTTTTCTTTCTCTTTCCCCTCTCCCGTCTCAATGAATGGGGCCCTCTCCCGACCCAGACTCCCCCCCTTTCTCCAATGAGTCACCTGCCATAGCTGGGGGGAGAAAGGGGGGCTGCTTCATTGTGGGGCTGGGCCTGGGCCAAGGCTCAATGGGCTGGGAATGCAAAGTTATGCTAATGAGGCGTGGGGGGGTATGGAAATGAGGAGAGGGGAGGGAAAGCAGAAAATGGGTTAGGGGTTCAGGGTTGTTGCGGCAGCTGTGTGGGTGGCTCTGGAATGGGGAAGGGGATGCCTGGATAGAACTGGGACTGTGTGTGTGCACACATGTGTAGCTGTGTTGCTGTGTAATTGTGTGACTGCTTGTAACTGCGTGATGTTGGGTGTATATGTGTTTGAAAACCTGTCCCTGTGTGGATCACTCGCATGTGCACACCCTGACGTGTGCTCAAGACTCAATTCCACCTCCCTTCCCAGCAGGGGAGACCCATTAGCACGTTCTCCAACTCTGCTTCTGTTTACATCTCCATTCCCAAAGCTAATTGCTCACCTAGATAAAAGGCTCCCCACCAGCTGCACAGAGACACAGGCCTAGAAAGCCCTCAATCATGAATCCACAGGCCAGTCTTATTGGAGGCCCTGGCTTGAGCCAAGGAATGTGAGAGTTAGGCTGGGGCTGCCCACCTGTGTGACTGTGCCTGTGGTACAGGGCAGGGGCCAGAAGCAGAGGGCTTCACACCCTACCCTCTGTCCCTGACCATCACCCTCCCACTCGACTGGCTTTCTGTTCCCCGATGGTCACAGAGTTGGTCAATGTTCTCCCCCCACAGGCACACACAGACTCTCTGAACACCCTTGTGGCCTTGCACCAGCTGTACCAGTACACACAGAAATACTATGACGAGGTAGGTGGAGGGTGCTGCAGAGCAGGGGCTAGGGGCTGGAGACAGGAGGGAGAGGGCCCGTAGCTGCCCTGGGAGCCTGGAATCAGGGCCCTGGGGAGTTCCTTAGACTGCCTTAGCAGCCCCTGCACCAGTACCTGGGACCCTTCAGCGTGTTGTCCTGTTGGCCCCTCCTCAGATCATCAATGCCCTGGAGGAGGACTCTGCTGCCCAGAAGATGCAGCTGGCCTTCCGCCTACAGCAGATTGCTGCAGCTCTGGAGAACAAGGTCACAGACCTCTGACGCCTCATGCTGCCCAGCTATGCCAGCGAATCTCTTTCCTCATCTGAGGATAATCGTGTCCCATTTTAAAATGTCCAATTCTGCAAGAAAGAGAAATCATGGTTTTCTGAATCAGCAAAGTGAGATGTGAAAAGGATTTGTACTGTAAATTCCATTCGGATGGAGCTCAGTCACTTGCTCTCATGGGTGTGAGAAGTGGACCTTTCTCTTCTTAGAAACGTAGACGTCGTCTTCATAGCCTCAAGAGCCAGGGCCAGGGCTGGGGCAGCTGTGAACGGGGTCTGGGGCCCTGGTCCCCTAGAGGGCTCCCCCCATGAGGAGGCCAGCCCCAGCCCTCGAAGGCTGCTGCACCACGCCCACCCGCCTGCCCACCCAACCAGCACGGAGGAGCTGAGCCTATGTCCTCAGGCCCCACGCAGCACTGTTGGCCCAGGGCATCCCACTCCTGCTGCCGGGGGGCGTCGACAGGATGAGTTCTGGGTGATCAGGGGGCAGCCGGACTCCAGGCTGCCACGACCCCAGCTCTGCTTGCCCGGCCCAGCCACACACAGGCCACAGCGTTTGGGGCAGTTACTAAGTGATTTGTTAATGTGCCTTATTGATCCCCTGACGTTTGTGATGGGACTGAACCAGGCTAGAAGTGAATAGCAACCACTGATCTTTCTGTGCGTGGCCGGCCGGCCAGGGGTCTGAGGCTCACCCTGGGATGCTCCTTGGCTCTCAGGACTGGCCATCTTGGTCCCCTGTGGCATCTTGGGGTACCGAAGCCAGCTCTCTGGGCCAGCTCTCAGCGTCTACCTGCCCATCCCTATCACTCAGCTGCCATCCGGTAGCATCTCAAGCCTCTCTGTATCTTTCCCAGGAGGTGAGAGACAAAATTTGGTACGATTTTCCCCAGCGAGAAGGATGGAGAAGCCTAGCCCCCACCCTACCCGCTCCTGCCCCCCCCCCCCCCGGGCTCCTGCACATGGCTACAGCTGAAGACCTTGGTGGGTGTGCTGGAGGGTCCATCCCTCTGCCTGCTAACAGCTCTGATTACCGGCCCAGAGAGTGGCTGGCGAATCAGCCTTCCCTGCAAGCCACGTGGACTGTGCCCGGCCACATGGGGTGTCAAACGCCCCATAGTGTGTTGGCCACGTGAGGCTGCGTGGAAGGTTGGACACAGGGGACTTTTTGTCGTATCTAGTGTTGAACACATGAGGTTTCGTCAAATGTGGAATGTCTGTGTCACATTGAGTGTTGGCCTTGTCATGAGTCAGACATCAGATGTCACGTCCGTGGAGCATTGAATGTCAGGACTGTGTGATAGTACATAGAAGGCCAAGTGTCCAAGACCACGTGAGGCTGGAGCAGCCCCTTGAACACGTTAAGACCACGCTGAGCACATCTGGCCTTGTCTGGTGTATGAGGTCACACGGCATCATGGTGCAGGATGCTGGACACCTGGCCGGCCCACGTGGTCTCTCCTGCCGTGGTCCTCATTGTGTGGCACTGGGGCCCGGGAGCCTGGGCTGCTAGTGGGAAGAGACAGACTGGGGGGAGTCTCCTCCCCATCCCCACCCCTCTCCCCTGTGTAAATCTTGTTCATTGTAAACCAAATACAATGTGTTCTTTTTCATATCTGCCCAGGGGCTGGTCATTTTTCCCACTGTCTACACCCCTGCCCCTGGCCTGTCTACACTGCTCCCACCCTCCATACATACACTGTCTACACCCCTGCCCCTGGCCCCATGCAGCCTTTGGTGACAATGTCAGTAACTACAATGACAAGGAAGTCCTGAGTGTTGGGGTCCCAGCCAGTGACCCTGAGGGACAAAGATAGGGCAGGTAGGGACCAGGCTGAGAGAACTCCCTTGAAGCCAGGGTTTTGGTCCACCCAAGTCCTGGGGCTCAGCATTCCACTTGAGTCTAGTGACCAGGGCTCCCCTAGGTCCTGGTCATGCAGTACTCCGTCGTCCCTCACACTGCCCCTGCCCTCACCTTGTTCTGCCTGCTGGGGCCAAACTGAATAAAGCCACATGCCAGATACTGGAATACAGATACAGACAGACTTGGACCTCTGGGTGGGGGAGGCGGGGAGGTGGCAGTATTCTCCTACTCACCCTTGGGTGCCTTCTTGTCCCTGCCCCAATGCACCTTTTACCTAGCCCCACCCCTATCACCTGGGCTGCTGGGTCTCCTAGAAATATCTTGCCTGAGTGTGCACATGTGCCCAGGCTCACATGAAAACACACATGCACATACATAAGCGTGTATGAGCACCCCCGGGCACACTGGCACCAGCCATCTCCTCATTTTTCCATTCCTCCCCTCCCACTCCTCAAGGTCCCTGTGCCAAGCCCCAGGGGCACCCCGTCTGTCTTCCTGGCAGCCTGTGCCAAGCCTGCTGTGCATAGCGGGGCTGTGATACTTTCTCAGTCTGCCAGGCTGGCACCTTCACAGCTCTGAGGGTCTAGAGGGAGGAGGGGTCGTGCCCACCCAGCCCCCCACCCCCCTGGGGACCATGGCCAGGCCAGCCCTTCAGTCCCAAGCCCAAGTCATTCTTCATTCCTCTTCCAGCTCAGGGCTCCCCCAGGTCTTCTTGGCCTGCATGGAGGGGAAATACTCCTTCAGCCTGAGGTGGGGTGGGGTTGGGGAGCTGCAGAGGAAATAGTGGGCCTGAGCACTGGGAGGATGGCCTGAGAACCAGGCTATGATCACACAGCTGTGTGACCTTAGTCAAGTCATTTTCTCTCTGTGCCTCAGTTTCCCTATATTTACAATGACAGACCTCACAATCCCTTCCCAGTTCCGATGTTCTGGGAATTGAATAATTCATTTCCAATAATCTATGACCCCAGTATAAACAGGCTTAGAATCCCAAAGCTGGAGAAGGGGGCCCACCCCCTACCACCCAAGATCCCTTCCTATAGTGTCCTTCATAAGTGGCGGGCTCTCCAGCCTCTGCCGGAAGGTGATGGAGAGCTCACTACCTCTTCCCTGCCAGCCAGCCCAGATTATAGGGAGCCCAAATCTGAGAAGAGATGTCCCGCAGATAGGCAGTGGCAGTGAGGGCCTGGGGACTCCATCCACTTGAGTCCAGTGACCAGGCTCCCCTGGATCCTAGTTGGGCAGCCCTCCCTTGGTCCCCACTGCTGGCTCTGCACACGCTGCCCCTGCCCTCGCCTTGTTCTGCCTGCTGGGGCACAGCTGAATCCAGCCACATGCCAGATACTGCAAGCCAGTGTTGTGATCCACCCAAGTCTTGGGGCTAAGCATTCCTAGGTCCTTTGGGGCATGATCTTCGTGGGGCCCTCCCTCACCACCCAGCTTCCCTTACTCTCCAATCCATCAAAGTCCTTCAAGCCTCTAGGCAATGATGCAGAAAATTCAATCCAAACATTTAATTAGCACCTGCTGCATGCAGTGCCCAAGCTCTCACAGCCAAATAGGTTTACGTAATGGGGGTGTAGGGGAAAGGGGAGGGATATGGAGTTGGAAGCCCTACTTCCCAAAGCCAGCTCTGCCACTTCCTAGCTATGTGACCCTGGCAAGCCCTTTGTCTTCTCAGGGCCTCAGTTTCTCCCTCTGTGAAATGAGGGGCTTGGGCATACAGTTATGATAAAAGACAGGGTGTGGACACAACAGACCCAGGCTTGGCTCTTCTGGGGGCAGAAAGAGAGAGAGGGAGAGAAGAGGGAAGGAAGGGAGAGGGAGGGAGAGAGAGAGAGAGAGAAAGAGAGAGAGAGAGAGAGAGAGAGAGAGAGAGAGAGAGAGAGAGAGCGAGCGCACCATTTGGTCTGGGAGAGGCCAGGGGAGGCTTTGTGGAGGAGGAGGAGGGCCCCACACTGGCCCTTGAAGAGCAGGCAGTGAAGGGGGAAGGTGGCATTCCCAGGGCAGAGAACCAGAGGCCAGAGAGCTCAGGGTGAGCATGGGGAGGAGGGAGAGGGGTGGCTGCCTGTGGGGGACAAGGCGGGGGTGGAGGCAGAGCAGGAGGTGGGGGCCTCCCAGGGAGGGTCTAGAATGACAGGTGAGGAACTTTGTGCTGGAGATAGGAGGGAGGCAGCAGAGTGAGAGGGTCCGGCCCGGGGGCCAAAGAGAAGCTCCAGCTCTTGGGACCGTTGTAGAAGGGAGAGCCTGAAAGCGGGCAGATCCAGCAGGGAGGCCCACAGCAGTCCAGAGGAAAGAGGGAGAGGCCTGAGCCCCTGTGGCTAGCCGTCGGTTCCGTGGGTGGTAGTGAGGTTAGTGTCAGAGCCCAGAACTCCAAGCCTGGTTCCTCGGGAGGGACTCGCCCATCTGCTCAGACTGTGAGCAGGATTTAGCGAAGGCTCTGCATTGTATCCCGTTCAACCCAACAAGCACTTACGTGCCTACTGTATGCCGGGATAAGGCAGGGCTCTGGGGATCCATTCAGTCGTTTCAGTCACGTCCGATTCTCTGTGACCCCACTGGGGGTTTTCTTGGCAGAGATACTACAGTGGTTTGCCATTTCCTTCTCCAGCTCATTTTACAGATAAGGAAACTGAGGCAAACAGGGTTCAGTGACTCGCCCAAGGTCACACCAGGCTGGATTTGAACTCCTGAAGATTGTCCTGGGCATAGATTCCAAGCTAGGGCACTATGGCGCCCCCTAGCTGCCTCCTTTGTATCTGGGAATACCTAGACAAAATAAATTCAGTCCCTGACCTCTGGGAGCCAGCGCTGTCAGGGGGATGTGGAGGTACCAGGTAGGTAGACCCATGGCTACCTCAGGAGGGAGAGAGCACTTTGGAACTCGGAGGATCAGAGCAGGCTTCCCGGAAGAGGTGGCCCCTGCGTGGAGCCTTCCTGGAAGACAAAGCCCCAAAGACAGAAGTGAGGAGCACCGCGCTCCCAGCAGAGGCAAACACCTAGAAGTGGGAGATGAAGCTGGGAGAGGAGGGCGCAGCCTATGAGTCGGTTTAGCTGACACGCCAGGAGGAGGAGAGACAGTGACAAAAGCCAGAGTAGTTGCTTGGCTCACTGCGGAAGACTTTCAATGCCAGGCCAGGTAACGTTTTCTGCCAGCCTCCCAGCCCTGCCCCTTACCACCTTTCTCTTCCCCTAGGCCAGGCCAGCCCAGCCATGGGGAGCCCCAGATCTAAGGAGCTCCTGATCTCTC